CTTGTATTTATGTGAATTTATTCATTTCGACTAGAACTAGTATGTTTGAAGTCGGGGAGGATATTTCAATTACTTGGTACCTCTCTAGGTCATTCAGGCAATTAGATATTTAGTAAATGCACAATTAACAATAGTTAATATAAACTGATAAAACTCAAGAGGACTTAATGGGATAAAAACATTAACTGAGCCAATTGCTTCTTCTGTATACATCTGGTAAAACTTTTAAAATCCTCAGAGAATTCTCATTCCGCGTTTGTCACCAAAATCTGCAAACATTACTATTGCCACCATTTCTTTTCTTCTCATATTTTGAGAACATCTTAATTGACTTTGAAGTCACTGAATTATAAATAAGATTAGGACAATAGAACAATAAGTTCTGTAAACAACAAAACAAACCCTAAATAAATCCTCTCTGGCATTGCCTTTCTGGGCAGAGTTGAAATACATAACATTGGATTATTTAGTGCTATTTGTTTTCTACCAAATAAGCAAGGGTGGATTTATTCATGTCAGTTAATAGACAGGTTTAGATTAAAGGTTATATAAAGCTTGAGATATTCCTGGGAGGAAAATAAGGAGCCAGTAGAAATTATACTGAGAACTCTTTATCTCATGAATGATCAAGCTTTCCTATGGGGGAAACACTGAGTAGACTGATGCAAGACAAATGTAAGCTCATGCTGATGGGCTGCAGGGTCTCAGATTTTAAAGACGTTCTGAGGAAAGAATGATATACTTTGTCTTGAAATGTCTGTTCTGATGGTTGGTAAGCCCCAAGCCTCTCTTCCTGTGTTCTGAGATAGAAATAAACAACAGAATGATGAAGTGCTCTTCAGCGAGAATAGTCAGAGAGTTAACTCTTCTTAGTTATACAGCGTAAGACTCCAGTCTGAGAGTGCCCTTTTCTCCACAGCATATCATCAGCCCTTATCAGTCTTTACACACAGGGATGGTACTATCTGTGATTGAGTCAATATACAGTGTATTCTGGATGGGAAAAATCATTTTGTATACTGCAACAATATACAGTGAATGAATGTAAAATAAATAAATAAATAAATAAATAAATAAATAAATAAATAAGACTCTAGTCTGAAGGGAAAAGCAGTGGAGTAGGGATCCGATTCTATGGCTAATTGCTCCCTATACAAGTAGATTTTCATCCATTATTAGCTTTAGATCAGATCTAGCCTATATTCCCAGTCCTCTAGACTAACTTAATCTTGGCCCAGCATTGTACCTGAGTCACAGCCCTCATCACCATCTTACTCTAAAGCCCTACAACACTCTTTGCCATAGCTGTCTCAACTGACTTCTCATCTCAAGCCCAATTCATACCCATTTCCCTAGTTCTGAGTTGCCTGTTAGCATTTCAAACCACCAATCACATCTAGTCCCATTGCCTGTTCAGCACTTACCCACAATCCTGCAGCCAGTCTTCGATCTTATTGATTGGATTCCCTAGGAAAGTCAGACACTGTATCACTGTGAGAACCAAAAGAAACCATTCTTACCCTCAACAACTAAGCCCACTCACTGTTTGCCTTTATATGAAGGGACTTCAAAAAATTTGTGGAAAAGCAAATGGAATTAAAGTATACACAAATTTTGAAGTCCCTGAACAGTTTTTTCATAATATGGATTTTCCATGAATGCTTTGAAGACTCACAAAAGCCGCATCATGAATCTGTCCTTTTCCCATAAAGCTTTTTTATTACTATATGAGAAGAATATTCTCATATATCAAAATGGTGGTTATTCTCTCTCTCCTTCCCTTAACTTTGGTGCTACTGGAAAGTGCCCACAGCTATCTTTTTCCTAAGTTTTAGGGATGGGGGTAGATCTTTCTCAAAAAAGAAAAAAATAAAAAAGAAAAAAAAAGAAAGAAAAGAGAGAGAGAGAGACAGAGAGAGAAAGCACAAGCACAATTTTGTATTTGTGCTTTTTTGTTTCCTACCAAATTATCAAGGATGGGCTTATTTCTATTCAGATTTTTTTTTTAATTGCCAGAAGACATGTATGTTTGCTAGGGAGAGACAGAGAGAAGAGGGAGAAAACACCTCTTACGGGACATGGTCACACTGCAATTCCTTCTCCCTCATCTCTCCAGCCAGACTGCGGGCATTCTTCCTGAACCTGGCATGTTTTTTACCAGGACGGGGATTTGAACTGTGATCAGTCACAGGGGCTCCAATTCCCTTAACCACTAGGCTAAGGTGTATCTCCTTCAGAATTTTTGCTATACTCTATATTCTCTGGTCATTTGAACCTCAAAGAAGCTCTGAGATTGTGTATGAAAGGTACTACTACAATTGGATATGTATGTCTAACAGAGCTCAGTGACTTCTCAAAAGTCATAGAGCTTGTTAGTGACAGTGTGGGCCAGAGCCCGGGCAACCAGCTTGAGTGACAGTGTGGGCCAGAGCCCGGGCAACCAGCTTGAGTGTAGTCTTATTACACAAAGTAGGAACCTCAACACACTCATAGAGAAACCCTCGCGGGGGATTCTAAGAGAAGTTTTTCAGCATGATACAAAAATTCACTCCTTTTTTCCCCCAAATTTTATGCCTCTTTCTCAAATAATTCATATTTTGTATAACTTAATATCTCTTCATTAAACTCATTTAAACTACCAAAGTGAGCCCTCCTGAGGACCTCCCTGAAATAAGGAATACCCTCTCTGTGCACCTGTGCCTGTTTTTACACTCTAACACAAGACAAAGCAGGTATCTGTCTGATGTTTAATTGCCTCTTACCATCTTGAAAAACATCATCCAGGCTGGAAGGCTCAGGATCTGGAACATCTTGCAGGGCAGCTGCAGCCTCCTCTTCCAGGACCTGGGTCTGCCAGTTTCGGCTCTGACGGAGCCAGGCCCGCCGTTTCTCCCAGGATGTAGGACTCAGCACAGAGCCCTCCATGGCCCTCACTTAGACTTCAGGGCCTCCTGGCACGTTAGCAGTGTCCTGGGAATTGAAGCACAGTGATACTTCATTATTTCCTGTTCAGAAATCAGAACTCTTAGTGTTGCTTCTAAGGTACCACAATCAGGATGTCATTCCAACTACAGTAATTCTGGAATTTGTTGTTTGGTTTTTGTCTTGATTTGTTTTGTTTTCTATTTTATGTATTAGAGGTTCATACAAGATTTCTCTCAGAAAGAAAGTCCTTTGATAAAAACAAAGACACACTTGTAGCCCCAGCTAGGTGCTACTTTATAGGATGCGTAAAGTTAGACTTGTGTTCATGGAAATGTGTGTGTCACCTGTGTTTGCTATGAGGGTATTTGGATTGATTAGGGTCTTTGGTGATTCAATAAAATCTGGGGGGGAAACAGTATAGAAAGCAAACATAGATACCAGAGACAGTGTGGGAGGAGAGTGGGAGATGGCAGAGAGTAAGAGATAGGGAATCAAGGATGGGGGGGGGGAAGCAAAACAAACAACAAGAAATGGAAGATTATTTGCTGACAATAACATGTTTGTTGATGTGCTTGATTGAGACAATATACAGTGTACTCTGGATGGAAAATCTCATTTTGTATGCTGTAATGATGTACAGTGAATGAATGCAAATAAATAAATTGAAATAAAAAAGAAAAACAAAAACCAAAAAACAAAACCCAAAGACACACTGCCTTCAGCCATCAGCAACTGGCACCTTCAGGATGATCACTTTCTAATTTGTCCGCTTGTGTTTCTACGTAGCTCTGAGCGAATGCCCCAGTTCATCAGTGCAATTATTGATCCATATATCTATATTTAATTTAAAAGTACCTAATCAACACTGCATTCTTTCAAAAGTTATATAATGAAGGTACTAGATACATATACAAAGAGGAACGAAGAGGGGAAGAATCATTTGATTGTCCCGATAGAGCTCAAAAAGGCAGGAGGCTAATGCATATTCATTGCCTTATACTGTCCTGCTGCCTCTTCTCCACATGCACAGCCCACCAG